TCACTCTTTGGGAATCAGAGGAGTAAAAAACAAAAAAGACAAAATTATTTCCTTAATCTCCTTTTTAAACTTGTGTTAATACTCTGAAGAGTATTTTTTATTTTTGATATTTGTCATAATCCCATTAAGTCATCACCTATCCACATGATTTCTCCAGATATACACAAGAATGGGTAAATAGCAAACAAAATTGCCAGCATTTGCCCCCAAATGCACCAGGATTGGCCTCAGCTTTAATCCTGTGACTTCTGATCCCATCAGGATATATTCTTTTCAAGAAACATCTTTACTTTTAAAAATCAGACTGACGTCCTCACAGCCACTTTAACACATCAAGAGCATTACATTTTAAATGAACAAAGGGACACTCGGCATTCCTGAATTAAAATATTATTGCTGGCTCCAGTTACACTGAAACATCCAAAAGCATTTTTCTGCAATATCACAGTAATCAAGGACTGTTGCTAGGGTGAACCTTTTTTTGAAAGAAAAAAGTAAAAATACCCATTCCCACCCCCCCCAACTGACTCTCAGATTATGTAACATGCAAATTCAGTTTCACCTTCAAAATAGTGCCATACAACATACAGCCAAACAGACAGCAAGAATCATTTCATAAGACTGGAAAAGCCTCCCATGGACTCTATAAGCAACCTTCCCTCAAATGAAAGTATATCAGAATTGCAATGATTTAATATAATCAATTGGGTTAGAGAATCCTTCCCTTAAAAAAAAATATAGTTCTATTTACAAATTCCTTTCATTAAGGGATGAAGAATTTCAGAGTCTATGTATGCCCTAAACTGCAGAAAGAAATTTAGCCTGCTGAAAACTGTTAAAATCCTCCCAGAACTAATAAGCCCAAACTAATTGGCATTACTTTCTGTGATACAATTTCACATTCATCTTTCAGTATCTGGACTTGTAAGACAAATTTAATACAAGTCTGAAGTACAAATGAAGTACAAATGGTATTTTCATATATATTAAAGGAAGACATGAATAAATACCTTATTTAAAAGTTTAGTTCACCTTTACTTTTTCAAATCTGGACTTGAGGATGTTCATAGCATCATAACCTGAGGTTGTTAAGCACACAGCATAAGAATATACTGTGTTTAATTTACAATCTCTTTAATTAAATTGTCTAGGAAAATGAGTATATTTATGTGGTAAAATAATCAGCATGTGACAGTCTGAATCTGTAAAAAATACAATATGTAAAAGCAACTCTGAATATGATTCAAGAACAGTAGCATTCCCTGAAATAAAAAGCGGCCACCTGCAATACAGAGGAAAGTAAACAAGCCAGTAAAGCAGGGCTCCTACTTTTCGATTGCAGCAACTACGACTCCATCTTAAGCCTGTCATCATTCACCCCCACTGAATGAGGACTACACAGCACAACAACTATTCTGTTTTCCCTAACACAGAAATTCAGGACCACTTCTAGACAGCAATTAAAACCTGCCACAAAACAGAAATTTGGTATAGTGCTCACTGACATGACTCCTTTAACATTATTATATTCAGTTGCATGAGTAGCAAATTGACCCATGAGTTGAAAAATTCTACTAATTCCTCCATTTAAAAATGGGTTGTTTTTGGGAAAATATTGTGTTGATGCTGACCACCCTGACTGCAAAACATCACTGAGGAAGAAAAAGAATAAAATTATCTAGAAATACTTTCATTTAAATAATACCTACCTGACAAATACAATAACATAATTACCAGAACAGTGTAAAAATCACCAATGAAGACTCATCTGTAGTAATCAGAATTTTATAAGGCTGTCTTCCATATGTTCATGATCAAGAAGAAACCTAGTAGTCCTTAATGTAGCTTCTTAATTAATCTTTCCCACCATCACTGAGAATTTATTATTAACTGAGGTCAAACTCCAGACACCACAAATATTTATATCTGACTCGGTAAAATGAAGTTTTATAAACAAAGAATAATGCTCAATTACCAAAATATTCCTGGCAGCTACAATGACACAAAATGCACTGCAAAGTACCCGTATTCACTCTTATATGCCGAAAGTCTGTTAATGAACTCAAGGCCATTGATGCCATCAATTCTACTGATAAAATTAAACACGGTGAACTTCTAATATAGGAATTTCAATTTGTAGATCTGTCTTACTTGCACTAATAGTTTATCTGGTGTTTCAATCATATTTCCCAGCCATTTGAAGTGACATGCTTGTGCTATGTGAAAAAGCAACCAGAGAGAAATTATGACTCTGGCCACACAAAAAATGCTGTCAAAAAAAAGCAAAGCAACCGAGAAACATTTTTCTTATTTTTGACATTTAAATACGTGAAGTAAAAAAACCCCAAAAACGCCCATCTATTCTTTCAGAAAGAGTATTGTTTATTGTGCTTTGTAAGGATAATTATATAAGAACACATTTAGTTCTACAGCACCACTGAATAAACTCAAAGCAAATACAGTATACGAGCTTTCCTTTCTTGTATTAAATAAAGATTAGTAATATTCCACATATTCTCTTAGGCTGCACTAACAACAAGCCTCCTCCACTCCACAGATATATAATTAAGGATCACCTCACTGTAATTTGTTAAGATAATAAAAAAGTGCACTCATGAGCAATGAACATCACCATTTTAACACTGGCAACCACACAACAGTTACATCAGATAAATACACTGTCTGCTCTGGGGATCCTTCATCAATGAATTTCACCGTGGGTTTTAAAAATTTTCAATAAATCTAAAATCAAAGATAATACATTGCCCTCCAAACAATTTATGCCATACTCGTCCCTTCCTAGTATTCTGATATTTCAGAGGTCTCTTTAGCTACGGCGTAGGTTAAGGAGAAACGATTGCTAATCTGCTGTAGAATTCTCAGAATGAACATCTAGAAAAATGAATCACAATGTTGATTTTTATCAATTTAGTTGTCTTCACTGTCACCTGTATTTTATAATGACAACGTTTTCAGATGCCTCATTAGGTATGACTGTCTTCCCTCTGCACCATGTTGATCCCTTGCAGACGTAAGTCTGTATTGTTCAATAAAATGTAAACTACTCCAAATGGATTAATACACTGCCTTGAAAATACATTCATAATAATGAATTTGATTTTCAGTACTCTATTTTTGACTCAGTATTCCTGAAGGGGAAAATATTTCAACATTTTCTGAATAACACCATTCCTAGTTTAAATGTAAGACGGTACAGCGAGAAGGTACTTTTGAATTCATGCTCCTTTATAGGAAAAGGATAAACATAAACCATAAAAAGAAGCCTTTCTCGTCCCTTCATATCTCCCTTTACAGTGACTTCCCATGCTGGCAGCCATCAGCCCTCTTTCTGCTGCCCTCTCCGATAAACCTGCCGGCCTGGCTGCCTCTCCCTTCCCATGCAGGTCTGATCTGCGAGGCTGCTGAATGCAGACACTGTACTGCACTGTGAATGGACAGCCAGGTATTTTATGAATGGAGCTGATCACGTGCTCCCAGCACCTCCCCGAGCTGATATTTCCCACATAACTGTGTCAACAAGCAGGGAACAGCACATATTAATACAGCAGGTCCTGGAGACCTTCCGCCGCCGGCCGCGGGCCGCAGGCCGGCCCTCAGCCCGGGAGCAGCCGCTTCGTGCGCTCCGCAGGGCAGGTTCCGCCGCAGGTCAGCGGTGGCGACAGCAATTCTTTTTTCGCAATTTTTTTTTTTTTTTTTATGAATGGAGATTGTGGTATGCAAATGAGAGCGATTCACAAAAAAAGGAAACATGGCGGCGGCGGCCCCGGCTCCCGGCCCCGCGGGCGCCGCGGCGGCTCCCCCCTGCCCGGCCGGCCCCGGCCCGCTCAGCGCCGCGTCTGGGGAGCGCCCGAGCCCCGCGTCCCGCCGGGCTCCGCTCCCCGCGGGGCTCCCCGGGGACCCGAACGCCGCGTCTGGGGTGAACACGGGAAGGTGCGCAGGCTTTGCTCGGAAGAAGGCGGTGAAATGGGAAATCCATCTTTCCTGCCGGAGGAGCCGTGTCCGCACCCTGTCTGTCAGCTCGGCTGCTCCCCGGCCGCTCACCGCTACCTACAGATACAATGGGCGCAGCGCTCCCTCCCCACCGCCATGGCCGCGGCCGTCACCGCATCATTCATAAAATCAGACCGAGCAAACACCGACACCGCAAATCGTAACGCCACGGCTCGGAGACCGCAGCAATCAACTTTAAACTTCCCGATCACAAGAAAAGTTTCAAAATACTTTATATTCCTGTTTCAACGCCATAAAGAACTCGGATGTTTTCTGAGAAACATTTACCGCCTCCGACAGAAATGTATTTCAAAGACTGATTACATTCAGGGGAATACAGCCGCACACACACACACAATCTCCTCTGGATTTCCTCCAAACCAGTCACAGCAAAAATATTAAGAGATCCTTGAACTATCCCCCTTTCCTCTCTGGGGGGTGGGGAGGGGGAAGGGAACGGGGAAAAAGTCCCAAGTGCTCATTAAAAGGAAAAAAAAAAAAATAAAGAAAGAAAAATAAAGGGCTTTAGGGTAGGTTTAAGCTGTATTTACACTGACTGACTCATCCAATTAAAATTCAGGAGCAGTTTCCTGCAGGATGAAGCTCCCACACACTAGTTTCCATGTGAAATATCTACAAGTAACAGGATTTTATCAGAGGTAGTACGTGCCGACACCTCTCTGGGCATTTCAGACCCATCCTCCCCCTCCAAGACACCGTCGTTACCTGCACCGTTTTCTACCGGGCTTTAACTAAACCAAGCTTTTCTGGCCGGCGGCTCGTAGCCCTTCCAAACCAAGCTCCTTCACAAAGAGGGAGCTTCTGGGCTTCCATGTACGCGAGCAGAAATGCGCAGTCCGCGCAGGGGGAGGACAGCACACGTACGTGCGCGGGCAAAGGCCCCGCGGGGCGCGGAGCCGAAGGGACGCGCCGAGCCCCATCCCCATTCCGATCCCGGGGCGGAGGGGAGGGGGAGCACCGCCACTTACTCGTTAGAAGTCGCCGTCTCTTCGCTCATTTTCTCCTCACCACGATCCGACAGGCACACGGAGCAGCACCGACGCAGCCAGGGCGCAGCCAGAACTCACCAGAAACTTCACCATTGTTACCCCCGGTCTGCCGCCCCCGGCCAGGGCACGGGCCGTGCGGTGAGTAAGGGAGAGGGGCGGGGGGAAGGAGCAGGAGAGCGGTCTTTATCCTGGAAACTCGAAATCCTGATGTCCGGCGGTGCAGCCTATTTCCCCTGTCTTTGGAGACGATGATGATGGTGGTGATGGTGAAGCAAACAGAAGCAAAACCCACGGATCTTCTGATATTGAGCTGCTCCCAGTTAGAGGGGGATAGAGTTGTGGAGACAAGAGAGGGCTCCCCGCCGCAAAAAGCTGCACCGCACCGTCCTCCCGCTGCAGCTCATCTCCCGCTGCAGCCGCCTTCGCTGCTGCCCTCCTCCTCCTCCTCCTTCTCCTCCTCCTGCTGCTGCTGCTCGGCCGCCTCCCTCCCTGCCCGCCCGCCTCCCGCGCGCAGCCGGGGCAGGCGGCGGCAGAAATTCCTCCAGACACCGGAGCCGCCACAGGCCGGGGCAGGCGGGGAGGGAAGGGGAAAAGGGGGGCAGAGAGGCTCGACGAGGATCTCCCACCCCCTCCAAAGCGACGCCGAGCACTGCGGAGGGAGGACGCGCCGGCCCGAAGGAGAAGGCTGGTGACGGGGGGAGGGAGGCGTTTTAAACCAGCCTGGGGGTGGGAAGGGGGGGGACGGCGGAGAGCGAGGATGCGTCACGGCTGTTTGTGTGAGGAGCGGCGCGGGGAGGGAGGGGGAGCAGAGCTCCCAGGGCGAGAGAGGAGCCCTCGGCTGCAGGATGAGGGGGAGAGGAGGGAGAAAGCCCGCGGGGAAGTTCAGCGACGGCGCTTCCTCCGCGGCAACAACTCCATTAGCGGCCGCTGCCGCCGCCTCGGCTCCTCGCGGCCGCCCCCGCCTCCTCCTCACAGGAAAACTGGGCGGAAGCGTTGACTTCAGGCTCCTTCCGCCGCCACAGCTTGATCCAAAATAACCACGGGGGAAAGGGAGGCGGGAGAGGAGGGAAGAGCGAGGGGAGGAAAGTAATCCCCTTGACCCGCGCCCGCCACCGGATGGGCTCGCGCCGCCGCCCTCCCCGCGGCGCCCGGCGCTGCCCGACGCTCGAGTTTCCTGAAAGTAGTTCCCTCCCCCTGGCGCTGCCTCACGCGCTTCCCGGGGAGCCGCCGCCGCACACGCACGCACGGCGCCGCGGAGGGATACGCGGGCTGCCCGCTTCCGCGCTCCTTCCTGCTCCGAGGGCGCGGGGCCGCCGCTCCCGGGCCCCGCCGGCCGGGACGCGCCGGGCGCTCCCTGCTCGAAGCGGGGCCGCGCAGACCCCCGGGGTCACTGCCGCGGGCCGGGGAGAGCGTCCCGGGAGTGGTGGGAGGAAGCGGGCCGCCGGCTCAGGCGCCTGCAGCGGCTGGGGGCTCGAGGCAGGCGCGGCTGATCGCCGGAGTCTCCGCCTGCGGGCTGGGCTCGCACTCTTTGGCTACTTTTTTACGCCGGAGTTGAACGTAGCCGCGAAAGTGCGGCCGTCTCTGGAGAGCGCGGGGCACGGGGTGAAGCGGCGCCCGCTGCCCGGTACCTGCTCCGGGCGGCTCCACCCGGAGCGGCCGCCCTCAGCCCCGGGTGCCTTGCGCTGCCTGGAGCGGCGCCGTGTGCGGCTCTGCCAGTGTGCTCCCCGGGGACCTGGAAAAGCGGGGCCCTTCTTGTAATTGTTTCCGTAACTGCGGTTCTGGGGGAGTGACGGCACGGGAGGGTTTGTGTTAAGTTCGAGTTGTCCCTTTTTCTAAATGCACTCTGAAATGGAAGCATTTGTAGTTGATTTAGGTAAAGCAGTGAAATTAAGAAGCAGCAGCAACCAAATTCCTTTTCAGGAACTTAAATGGTAAATGTGCTGCTTGATCTGAAGAAAAAGTGGAGCAGAGCTGCGAACCCGGAGGACTCAAAAATCATGAGTCAGACCATCAAGTAAATTAAGTTATAATAAAAGATTATACTGTGGTTTTGTCTGTCGGTTGGATTTTTATTTCTTCCTTCTAAGTCCTTGTATGCATGCTTGCCAACTGATGTATTTCATTTTCCAAACTTCATGGAGAACCCAAAACATAGTGGTGCTGCTGCTGTAAGACGTCACTTTCCCACTGCACATTCCATTATCCCAGGCTTCCTGTGTTCTTCCTCACTTTTTCACAGCTGCTCTCTAAGAACCTTCTCTGTCAGTTGTGATCCCACTTCATTTTTTCCTGTAGCTGAGCTTTTTCCCCTACTCTTGTGGTACTATAGGAGTGGCAATGACCTGCTCTCTCTTTCTATTTCAAAAGGATGGGGCAAACTCCGCTGGCAATAATAATGTGTCTGATTCCCACACTACTGTTTGACTCTTTCCCAAGAGGGAGAGACAGGAACATGGGAAATTGGGAGGACTTTTCACCATTTCAAGGGAATCTGGAGTGCCTCACATCACTGAAGGCCAGACTATAAACTTGCATCACGTGTTTGAATGCCCAGAAGCAGGGCAGTATTGCGTTTGTGAAGTGTATTTGTTAAGGAAATCATTCCTTTTCACTAAGCATATATAGTTTTAGTCAGATTTTTATTTTGTGGAGTGATTACTTAGAGCATTGTAAACAAAATCTATTTTTATCTTAGCGTAGAAGGCAAGGAAAGGCATGGTTCATTTCTAGATAGTTTATGTTGCAATATTCCTAGAGATCAAAATTCCATGTTTCTATAAAAGGGTTCTACCATAAACTTAATGGTACAATTACAGTAAACTGTTATCATGCTTTCTCTGATAAAGACACTAACATGTTTCAAGCAGCACACATCTCAAACCTGCAATATTAAAATTTTCTTTATCTAGGAGGCTTTGGGGGGGGGGAAATTTCCAATTGTTTTGTAAATTTTATTCTTTTTTTCAGGAGAGTACATTAAAAAATGGAACAGTTATTCATGGCACCACCTCATCCAGATACTAAAAATACTTTACAAACCCAATTATATAATTTTACAATTCTCATGAAAAGTGTTAAAAACTCAGCTGTGGGCACAGTATAATATTCTACTTAGCAATAAGAATCCTTTCAGAGAACTTCCCGTCTTGTGACTGGCAAGATAATGTGACTTCCTGCTAATTTATTTCCCATTTTATTTTGGCTTTAAAGTCAAAATATTTAACATTCTGTAAGTTGTTGTTTTGATTAAGATAAGTCAACATGATTCTGTACAAGAAAGCTTAAGAATAATACAGTTTGTCAGATGGTGGTATAGCTCTATCTACTGCATCTGAAGAATGAGACACAATGCTGACAAGATAATTAATTTAGGTGTGTGGTTTTTATGTTAATTCCTTAAATATATTTAATATTAAAATTATTTTCATAGCAGCAACTCAATAAAATGAACTGTTTTTTAATATACCACAAATAATTTCAAATAATTTCCGTTTCCTTAAAGTTTTCATGAATTTCTTTGTTAAGAATAAAATGTGTATTCAGTTGTCAACTGAAAAATGTGAGATTCATCCTGGGCTTCTATTTTTGTGTGTGGAGGTAGTAAGGGGAGAAGGACCCACTGCTTCTTCACCTGTGGTAGGCCCTTCGACTTCTGCAAGCAGTCTCATGCAGCAGTGTGTGAAGCAGAGGTTTTGCAAGCACTTTCTCTCTCTTTACCTGAATATCCTAAAGAGGACAGAAAACCTGCTCTGATTTGTGTCTTGATTCTGAAATCCTATTTGTTTATGTTCCTCTAGAAAGGAAAGCTTGAAGAACACAGTCCTGGAGTACTGGTATTATTTTGCTGAGCAGCAGCTGGTTTCAGGGCTTTCCACGTTTGATTTTTTTGAGCAGAATTAAGTGAACAGGTGTTTTCAATGCAAATGGTTCATTTCTGTAGTATGTGTGAGTCCTGCCCGTGCAAACAAGGCCATGGCAAGTCAGGCATATATGTCACCATTCAGACACCTCAGCTTACTACTTTTTGTTCCAACCACCACGTTTTGGGGCCTTATCTTTGTAAATTCTGTGCCTCTTTGCTTTCTGTTAGAATCTGGACCATTTAAGTGTTCTGAGTTGAAATTTGGCCACCTTCTCTATGACTTGGAAGAGTTACCTCCAAAAAGGAGAGCTTCTGTTACTCTATTCACTAGAGCTGCTGCTATGTACTCACTTTTTGGTATGGGTACACAGGTGACTCCTTGGCTAGAGACAAGACATGCTTAGTACGGCAAAGGGCAAGTGAGGTTAAAAATCATTATTTTTTACATTGCATTTGATGTTTTGCTATATCAAACACTCTTAAGTTGCACTTTACGAAAACTAACTTATATGTCAATGCCATTGCTCTGCTGTAACATTTAGATAGCTGTGGGACTTTTGAAATGAGAACTGGGGAGGCAACTGTTACAGCTAAAGCAAAATGAAGGTAGTGTATGTTATTAGGAAGCCATATAACATACAAGAAATCTGTGTAAGTATAGTGAGCTGACCCTTGCTGGACACCAGGCACCCACTAGAGTGTCCCTGTCACTCCCCTCTGCAACTGGACTGGGGAGAGAAAACATAACTGAAGGTTTGTGGATTGTGACAAGGTCCAGCAGAGAGATCACTCACCAAGTACCATCATGGGCAACGCATGTACAAAACATATACATTTGGCCAGTCTTCTTATTCACCATTCCTTGAAATGGTTTCACATGTGTCTGTGACACCTCTGATGAAAGAGGTGGTCAGGAGTGGCCATGGAGTATAGCAGGACTCTGAGTCTCTGGCAGAAGAATTATATATAGATGTATTATGGAGGTTAGGTTGCATAATTCTGATCTGCATGGCATTCACATCTTAAAATCCATAATAGGATCAGTGGAAGTTAAGTAATGCAATCCAGATTAGTCAGTAATTGCAGAACTTAAGTGACCAATTCATAGCTCTAAGTCCTAAATATGAAAGTTTTGAACTCTGCCTCCACAAACCACCGTGATGTTTATGTTTGTATACAGTTGCTAATGATGCATTTACAAAAAATGAAAGTCAGATGGATGTTCTGCCATTTTGAGGAAAATTATTAGAGGTCATTTGGGAATTTCTTCTGCAGTAGCTTTCATTCACAATCCTAGTGTGAGATAAAACACTGGGTGGTCATTACACACGTCTTAATAAGGATTTAGCTAAACCGAGCTGATTAAATCTATATTAGTATATCAGCAAAGTCAGATTTTGTTAAGTTCTAAACAGGAATCCTGTTACCACACATGGGATGAAAAAATTATTCATTCTACTTAATGCTACTGCCTCAAAAAATGTTTTCCAACAAGATCCAAAACAATGTTAGAGTCAAATCCTTATCTATTCTAATGTATTTGAGATGGATCTAACTCATCAGAATATCAAAGTTTCATAAATTATTCCAGTTGATGATTTGCAATAACCCAGAACTATCTGGATAGAAATTACTGCTCTGTGTTAGAAAGATGGAGACCCAGGTGGGAGGATGGGGAGCACATCTTGTGATGTAGATATGGTTGGTGTGCACAGCAGGTGCAGAGGTGATCTGTGGTATCGGTTGTTCATTCTGTCCTTTTGGAGCATGCTCACAGGGTGCTTTGGGATTAGTATATGTTTGATTTTGGTGATATTTTACTTGCTTTAAGGTAAGGCCAGTTAGGACAGCGTTGCTATGAAACAATCAACCTCACCTTCCTCCTACACTGTTCCCTTCCCTATCTGGCACCTTAGGTGGCCCAAATATCTGTCTGTTGGGCAATGTACTTCACTGGGATGATCACGTAGATTAAAACTAGTGTGGGAAAACCACCCTGATTAGTCTTTCAGTATTTCCAGCTAACCATGTGATTAGGTAAACACACTTGCCCAAGAATGGATAACACGGAGAGGGGAGCAAGAAGATGGTGGCAATGCAAAACTGCTTTTTATGGAGGCAGTGGTGAGTTGTGCCAGCCTAAAGTGTGGCTTGGTACAAAATTTGGGGAAATCGAAGGAAGAAAGCAGACTATTTAAATACACTGAAAAATCTCATTTGTTCACAAATGGTTATGCTAAGAAGTAATTATTCTGTGAAGAACATGCTATAATCTTACTTAGAATATTGTTCTTAATTTAATAT